TGTAGGTTTTCAAGCAGATGCAGTGAGAAATTGAACTTCTTTTCTCTTAAAGCTCTTATGCAATTATGCAATTCTGTTTAACCCTATTCTGCTTACTAAGCAGTTAAAACAGAGGCAGGACAAGAGGCTGCAGAATAGAGACCTGAGTCCTTCTGGAAGGACTGCAGGGTAAAACTGTTCCCTCCACTTAGTCTTCCTTCTCCTCCTGGGTCAAATGTGTTTTAAGGAGTCTGTCTCAGCACAGCACACTGTACACCATTTTAGGGCATCTGTATGTCTGTCCTGCTCGGTGTGCTCCATTATATTAAGAACCGTGACCAGCAAAGGATCCCATTCTGTCCAGTTTTCACCTCAAGCTTTATGCAGGGCCTGTGCACTCAGTAAATGCTGGTTGAAGGAAGGGGCCCTTGAAGGGTTGAAGGGTACCTTGGAAGTCAGTACTCCACAGGGATTGATTTACTACGTTAGCCCAGCATTTCCAATTCTATTTGGGCAAAGTTTAAAGTCTGAACTATGTGTATGGCGGATTGCAAATTCATCTTGTTTTGTATTGTCTCTGGAGAAAATAGATGTCTGCGAGCCATGGACTTGATGTCTAAATTTAATAATGGGTATGTCTGTGCCCTGGTTTTCCTGCCCTTACAATTGTGTCTTGCAGTGAGCGCGGTCCTGCCTGCATTGGAGATGCCGTGTTTCCAGCTTCGTGGCGGAGCCAGCTACTTGGCAAGGCTCTTTAGCAGCCCCAGGGGAAGTGGTGTGGTTTGACAGCTTCTAAGAGGGGGTGGGACCGACTCAATTGAAGCAGTTTCAAGAAATGGCTCCTTTCAGCAAGGGCAACAAGAAGTGTCTTGTTCTATCCTCTAGAGTCCCAGCAAGGGGCCATGCTGTCTACAGGACACCATTCGCATCCAGGCAGCATGGCACGGGCGTGAACAATGTCATCTGGACTGCTCAACTCCGTGGCAGGGGGCAGCTGAAGCTGGCCTCTTGATCTAAGAGAGTGGCCTTGCCTGGAAAATCATGTGTGAAAACTCAGTTCCAAATTGCTCCAAAGTACTTCAGGAAGGCAGCAGTGTGGGCAGGTAAAAATGCAGGGGTGATAGAATGTGCCCACCCTGCTTTGGTATGGCACAGAGACAGATACTGGATTATGGAGATTTCTCTTAGGCCACCACTTCTGTGAATTATTAGTTTTCAGTTGCCATTGTACTTTCTCCAGTTAAGCCTGTGTACAAGGATCTCATCCCAACAGGTAGCAGACACAGTTCAGTATTTGCTTGGGGATTGACTTAAAGGAAGTTGTACATTACTTATTCCTTTTAAAAAAAAGAAAACAAAAAACTACAGTAACATGCTTCGGTTTGAATTAAAGAGAGACAAGGTTTGTGAAAGCAAGACAGTGCGGCTGGAGAGATGCTGTGCTGGATGGCTTTAGTGTCAACCTCACTCACCTGGACTGAGGGAGCCTCAATTGGGGAATTGCCTTCATTGGACTGGCCTGTGGCCATGTCCATTCTTTATTGTTGAGTGATGTGGGTGGTGCCACCCCTGGGCAGGTGGGCCTATGTTGCATAAGAAAGCAGGCTGAACAGGGGCCAGGGGAGCAAGCCAGTAAGCAGCATTCCTCCACGGCCTGTGCTCCAGCTCCTGCCTCTAGGTTCCTGCCCTGAGTTCCTACTTGGACTCCCTGATGAACTGTGACCCGGGATATGTAAGCTAAATAAACCCTTTCCTCCCCAAGGTGGTATTGGTCAGAGTGTTTTGTCACAGCAATGGAGAAACAAACTAGGACAGATGGCCCAGCAGTTAAGAGCACTGGCTGCTCTTGCAGAGGACCTGTGTTCCATTCCCAGCACCCACATGGCTAACAACCATTCATAATTCCAGTTCCAAGGGATCTGACATCTTCTCCTGACCTCCACAGGTACTGCACAACACAGGTGCACTTACATATGTGCAGATAATACACTCATACACATAAAAAATGTTTTAAAAATGTATCTTTAAAAGCAAGACAAGTGTCATTAGTTTCTAATAAATTGTGTGTGTAACTACCTGATAGACCAGTTTGGCCAGCGCCAAACCTCAATTTATTCATTCTGTATATGTATAAATGTATATGCCAGTGTATATGGGATCAGAGGACAACCTCAGATGTTAGTCCACCTTGTCCGAGTCAGTTTTGTCATCATTGCATACCCCAGGCTAGCTGCTCCAAGTTTCTGGGATTCTATCTCTGCCTCCCATTTCCCTGTAGGAACTTGGTCTACAGACATTTACACTACCACATCCAGCTTTTGCATCCAGTTCTCAGAATCCAAGGTCATGTCCTCACATTTGAATGGCAGGCAATTCACCCACTGAAACATCACCCAACACCTCATGTCATTCTCTTAAATAAATCTGTCTGAGCATACATATTTCATCCCACCCTCTTTATTTATTTATTTTTTAATAATGTGTGTCACTTACTTTTGGCTTTTTGAGTTAGTCTTGTTATTGGGCCAAGAGTGGCCACAATCCTCTGTATATTTAAGAATGAGACCTAGGGGCTACAGATGGCTTAGTGGTTAAGAGCACTGGGTGCTCTTGCAGAGGACCTGGGTTCAGTTCCCAGCACCCACATGATCATTAAGTAATGTACAGCTTCCTTTAAGTTGGTCTCCAAGCAAACACCATCCTTAACCCCAGTTCCAGGGAATCCAGTGCCCTCTTTTGGCCTTTTTTGGCCATTGTATAACATGGCGTACTTACATACATGCAGGGAAAACAGTCATACTTATAAAATAAATAAATATATCGAAACTTTTTTTCCTTAAAAAGGACACCAAATCCTTGGCCTGCCAGAGTTTATGATCTGGTGAGAGAAGCAATTTGATAAATGACCGGGATTTGGTGTGATCCGTCACTCTCTTGTTAGCAGATATTTACTGAGCCTTGTTAAGTGTCAGGCAGTGCTGTGGAGACAATCCAATTAACCTGGCAGCTCCAGTGCTTGCCTTTCGGTTACCATGGACCAGCCATGCATTAGAGCTGGGCATAGGGGTGCCCTGGGGGCAAGATTATCAGGTGAAGAGAATGGGTGTCTGCTTCAGGGGAGTCCACCTGGACTTCTGTTTTCAATGTTGAAGGTACATATTGAACAAAAGTAGCTAAAAACAAAAACACAATAGGGGCTGGAGACATGGCTGAGTGGTTAAGAACACTGTTCTTGCAGATGACCCGGGTTTGAACCCCAGCACCCACACGGCAGCTAACAGCTGTCCATAACTCCAGTCTTTAGGGAGTCCAACAGCCTATTCTTACCTCTGCGGGCATTGCACAACACAGGTGCACTTACCTACATGCAGGCAATACACGCATACACATAAATAAAATATTAAAAAAACAAACTGTAGAATCCCACTTTCTAAAGTATAAAGCAGGCAAAAGGAATGCATGGTGATGGGAATCAGAATAGCACTACCTTTGGAGAGAAGACATCGATGGTTCTTGATCTGGTAGCATACAGACTTGAGTTCACATAAGCACCTACCTGCAGAGCTTATGTGTATACCTCAAGACCTTTAGGTGTTTTTAGTGACACTGTTAGTGACAGTATATTTAAAAGGCAGTGATGATTGGGGATATCCCGCTGAAAAGAGAGGGAAGTGGGTATTGAGAGCAAGAACACAGAGGAGGGGGGACATGGCCCAGTGTGCCCTGTTCCAGGGCTTTTAGTGGGCTACTTTGCCTGGCATGGCAGAAGGATGCAGGTTGGGGAATGAAGATGGAATGATGGTGACAGGAAACTTTGGATGCAAGGTATTAGGAGAGAAAAGTGTTCTTTTGCATATTTGGGGATAGAGGTGTCCCTTCAGCACTGGCATAGTAGATTGCCTTTGGCTAAGCTGCTCACCTCTGAATTTCCATCCAGTCTTCTCATCCTTCAGATGAGACATGGGGAGGATGACATGACATAAAGGGGCAAATACATGTATCTGCAACATACATGGGTTTAACGAGTTTTTTTAAATATTTTATTTTTATGTATCCGAGTGTATTGCCTGCATGTGTGTAAGTGAACCCGTGTCGTGCATTGCCCATGGAGGTCAGTAATAGGGCATCAGATCCCCTGGAACTGGAGTTATGGATGGTTGTTAGCCGCCATATGGGTGCTGGGAATCCAACCTGGGTCCTTTTCAAGAGCAACCAGTACTCTTAACTGCTGAGCCATCTTTCCAGCCCCTAATGAGTGTTTCTTAAGACTTAAAAGTGTATCCGTGTGGTTTGATTTAATTAATTGAAATGCTAATGTTTACTTTTAAAAATCAAGTATGATTCTATAATGGAGCAGTGTTTACTTATCTGAAAGTTTTGATATATTAATGCTTATTTTTTTGTTTATGCAACTGTACTTTAGCATTATATTTTTAAAAAATCTTGGCTATTTTTTTCCTTTTGACTATACTCATTAAAACATTTTAAAGCACTTGAGAACAGTCTAAACACAGTCAGAATTTCTATTTCAGTAAAGCTCACATTTGGCAAGGTTACTTGTATAAGAGGAAAATGTAAACATGTTGGATTCCTCGTCTTCCTTTCCAAAATTGTTGAGTATGTAGAAAGGGAAGCGGTCTTACTCTACTAGGGTTCCTTAGAAATGAAATTGATCCTTTGAAATGTTCAACATCAGATCAGGAGTGTGCTAAATATCTGATTGTATTTTTAACATGCTGGTGTAATCAGCTGTTCGTTAAATGTTCAACTGTCATATGAGAAGTTCCATTTAACCAATAATTTGCCAAATTTAATTTTTTAAGCAATACTGACTAGTTCTCTACCTTTCTAAGACCCCTCTGATTACTGTTTTTAAATAACTCTTACCTGTTTTGAAGATCAGTCCCCTACCCTTAGGGATCCCTTGGGTTTTGGGAAAGGGTTTACACTAGCTGTGTGAGACAGAATGTTGTCCCTATCTTAGCACCTTGAATCTCTGGATTGCATCTGCTCTGTTTTAGGAGTGAGCGAGCCAGATGGATCACAGCCCTGGGACACAGCAGCAGCGGGAAACAGCCACCAGACCGAACCTGTGAGTTCCCAGAGTAGCTGCTCTGGAATGTGGAGGGGCTCTGCCCCCTGCTGGCCACACTGTTACTGATGGCTTATGCCACCTGTCTATATACCAGCTTTCTAAGTTTCACCCAAGGTTTCCTTCCATCCTTCATTCAGCCTTGGGACAACTTGCTGATCCCTGCTTTTGTTGTCAGGGGGCAGTTCTTTGTTAGGTAAACATGGCAAATCACTGCTTAGCCTTCCTGAGCCTATTTATCTATCTGTAAGTCAGGGACATCAGATTCACCGTGGGGTTATTGTGAAGTAAGTTATATAACCCCTGCTTGGTACATAACATTTACATTTTTAGCTGTTATTAATGGATTTGACTTGAAGCAGAAAAGTGGTTTTGGTTTGTTTGCCTTTTTGTTGCTTCTTGTTTCAAAAACAGCCTTGCTATGTAGCTCTGACTGGCCTGGATTCTCTATAGTTCAGACTGGTCTTGAACTCAAGGTAATCTTTTGGCCTCAGATTTCTGAGTATTGGGATTACAGAGTGTAAGCCATTATGCATAGTTAAAATTTTTTGGTCTAAGACGGGTATAGTAGCACACCAGTACTCAGGAGGCTGAAGTAGGCAGATCTCTGTGAGTTCAAGTCCAGCCTGGTCTACATAGTGAGTTCCAGGACAGCTGGAGCTACAGGGAGACCCTGTCTCAAAAAGACAAAAAAAGAAAAAGAAAAAAGGGAGGGGGAATCTAAAGAAAATCACATAAGTATATTTTCCCTGAACATTTTTTATGAAGTGGCAATGTTAAGAAAACAGACTTTATTTTTCCAGTGTCTTAGTATGCTTATTAATATGCTAGTTAACTGTGATGTTACATTTCTGGATGGTTCTAGCTGGATGGTCAAAGAATGAGGGTCACAAAAGTGGTTATCTGGAACACTAAAAAAAAACTAGCCGGGCGTGGTGGCGCACGCCTGTAGTCCCAGCACTTGGGAGGCAGAGGCAGGCAGATCTCTGTGAGTTCAAGGCCAGCCTGGTCTACATAGTGGGTTCCAGGCCAGCTGGGGCCACAGGGAGACCCTGCTTCA